GGGCGGGGAATTGCTGCCTGCGGCACCCCTTCAGCCCTGTGCTGAAGCCCCGTCAGGGAGGGGGGGCTATAGGATTTGCTGGACTTGGTTAACTTGGCCCAAGGACATTATGCCGGCCATGCGTTTTCACGCGTGAACTATGCCCTCCCTTGCAGTACAGGCATGAGGCACCCCCTCGGTATGGCGCCATGTACCGAGGCCCCTCATTCGGTCATCATCCGGTCGGTGGGTTTTATCCGAGCCTTGCGGGTATATTCCCTGCCCAACTTTGCCCACCAAAGAATATTGTGTTTTCTCTGCGTCTGCGCGCTGTAACATTAACAGCAGATAAAGCTGGACTCGCTGAATTGTCAGAGGAAATTATTTTCCTTAATTCTGAACAGCTTTGCATTTGGGAATGCTCAAATCACCACCAGCTGATTTCTGGTGTATCAGGGAGTGGGAAAACAATTCTTCTTCAATACAAGGCTTTAGAATGTGCAAGGAAGGGAGAAAAGGTCATCATATGTGTGCCATCTCCTTTGAACAAAAAATATGAAGCTTTCTTTGAGGCAAAAAACATATCTAGTGGGGTCATTATTTACACATTTGAAAATTTTGTTCCAAAGAGTGAAGAAAAGTGTCACCTATTTATTGATGAGTTACAAATTCTTTTTGCCCATGACACGACTAAAAGGTCTTACCTGATGTTACTTCTGGAGAAACAAAAGAGTTCTGACAATTGGTTTTGCTGGTTTGCTTATGATGACAGTCAGTTCATGACCTCAAGGACACCCCTTCGATTTGAAGAATTTGAAAAAACCATTTCACGTCAGCAGATGTCAAACTCCTATTATTCCGCCATGACATACATTGGTATTGAGCGTCTTACCCAAGACCAAGAAAGGTTTGTCAAATCTCACCTAAAAACAGTCATGAGATCCACTGAACAAGTTTTTGAATTTGTGAAAGAGTTTGCTCACAAGAACGGCATTTATTCACAAATATTGGACTCAAAGCAAGTTTACTATGATCGCAAAGGTTATGTTCCTGATCCTTCCTGGAAAGAAGATTGGCAAGTAATCATTGGACATCGCATTGGCGGATTACCAGTTGAGGAAATTGAAACAGGTAGCCTTGAAACTGTAGCAACAAACATTTTCAGTGAGGTGCAACAATGGACACTAAAAGAAATTGCTGTTTTAGTCACAGATGACTGGATCCTGGAAGATTTGTCTTCTTTATGCAAACTTCTTGGCATCCCATTGTGTGCTATTGAAGAAGATAAAGATGCCTTAGTTTTTGACCATGGAGGCAAGTCACAGTCATTTGAATGGCCAGTTGTAATTGCTGTTTGTGGAAGTGAGTCAGAGCCTTATTTAAGGCATCTCGCATTTTCCCGAACAGTAGTGAAACTGGTTGTTTTCAGTGTCAAAAGGCCTCTTAATCAGTACAACGAATCTGATGAGGAAGTGCTCTCTTACCTAAATATTAAAGAATCAATACTGGTCAAATTATTTTTCTCAGCTAATCTTCAAAAGTCTGAGTGGTTACATATGTTATGTGCACATTTGGGCTATTTTGGACCAGAGAAGCCATGTAGTTTCAATGAGGTAGTGGATAATGCCACGAAATTCAATGATAAGTTAACAGAAGAAATGGACAAAGAATTAATGTTTGCAAAACAGAACCAAATTGTTTCAGCTGCAGAGTTTAAGGGGGAAAATGGCATGTATTGTTGAAAATGAAATATTTCATACCAAGTTTTTAATATTTTTTATTGTCTAACTGTTCACAGTTGTACCATTATTGCACTTTCAGTTTGCAGTTCATTTCTGTCATTTTTTATTATACAAAATTAATTTTCTTTTAAGTTTGATAGTCTGTAAATTTGAATTGGGAGCTCATTCTACAGTCAAACTGGTACATTACAGCCCTGTATATTATGGTCACCCTGTATATTACAGTCACCAGACAATTTCTGAAAAATTTTTCCCTGTATTTTCTGTAAAGTTGATCCGTATATATAGCTATCACCTGTATATAATGGATGCAGTCATCCTTCTTACTTCCCAAGTGCACAATTCATTATTTTTTACCTGTATATCGGTGAACAAAATAATAAATTGGATTAAAATCAAACAATTAGTGAATCATAACAAACTTTATTTATTGTTGCTACTGGGGCAGGAGTACACCTAACACGACCACAAATACATATCATCATTGGCATCTGAAATATATTTGTGACAGGTGCTGACAGAGTCGAGAAACAAAAGTGCTGATCTTATCACTTTCAACAACTGTTAATAGTTTACGCAGGGCATAAAATATGTTTTAGGCCCTTCTCAGAGCTCATTAATTTTTAACCCTCACCTAATGGCTCAGGCTAAAATGAGTCTGAATCAGGTAACTTAATCCTGAGGTATATGGTCAAGGCTGCTGCCTAACGGGCGCCTGGTTGCCAGAGGTGCCTACAATTTACCCTCAGGCGACCAAAATTTCAAACAGGGAGCCCAAATGGGCGCCTAAAACTTATGATTCTCAGGCATAACTTTCGGCGAACAAACAACAAAATTCCCTGCTCATTCTGCACATTTGGTCCTCGACTGTAGGCAAAAAAAAAATTTGCTGATCAAAGGTAAACAAACAACCTAAGCACTTGTCTTGAAATTTGCTTCTGTGACTTCTGCTGTTGTGCAGTTGAAGTTTCCTGTCTGAAAATGGCATTGAATAAATTTAATTTATTGTCGTCGAAAAACCTTTGATATCATGACTTTTTCCCCAGCGTTAGAAACATAATGTCATGATCTGTGGAAAAGCGAGAGGTATAAATGACATATAGGGTATGTTAATTTTACTTTGGCAAGTTTGTAGTGTTTTCTATCTTGCTACAAACATGATACACTCGAACTACAGTACACTCGGATTTTTTGCTGTACGTTTTGTGGTAACTTTTACAAGGCTCGCCCAAACATTTCAGTTATAGAAAATGATTCACGGTGGCTATTCAAGATCACATTTCAATCTCTTTTTAATTTACCATAAAAATTCCGAAAATAAGCCCCGGGGCTTATATTTTTCAAAGGCCCTTTTTGAGGGGTTTATTTTTGGAGAGGCTTATATTCGGAGGGGCTTATCTACGGAGGGAAATTTGGGTTTCAAAATCGATTGGGCTAGCCTTATAGTTGGAAAGAAATTTACCGTTTTTGCTTTGTTTTGCTTTGTATTTGAGGGCAACTTCTAAGTACAAGCCCCGGGGTGGCTTATATTTGGAGGGGCGATTTAACGGAGGGTTTTTTGCGTTACGAGTTTGGGGGACTTATATTTGGAGGGGCTTATTTTTGGAATTTTACAGTATGCCATCACTCGCCACGCACTTCAGTTGCCTGCATAGCTGGCTAGATTAGCATGGGAGTGCTGTTTTGGCGGGAGACCCGTGAGAAGTGTTGGTACAAACCAAGAATACCCCAGGCACAAGAATCCCACCAGCTTCCTGGGTGAGCGACACACGTACTAAATACAAACCTTCACAAATATAAAAACAGTTTTAATAGTTCAAAAGATAGACTTGATACAAAAACATTGAGTCAATTTTCCAAAGAATAAAAAACCTTTTGTTGGTCCTTTTATCACCTAAAAACTGAAACTTAACTTCGGTTAAATGTACACGCAAGTGCTGTTGGTCAGTGCATTAGCTGAATGTGCGAATGGTCGTTGTTATTTTTCTAGAGAAATAAATCGATTCTCGAAATCCTTTCGAGTGGTGACTATAAAAAAATGCTGGTTTCTCAGTTATTGCATTTCGAAACTCGATTAGTTCAAGTCTCGAGTATTTTTCTAGTTTAGTCTTGTCATGCAAGGCTTCTTTATAGCATTGTGTGACAGGTCAAAATGGAGACTTTATAGGTTTCGAGAAGCGTGAATCACGTTTTGAGGATCTGGTCAAGACTGTCAACTCACAGACACTATCGATAGGGTCATTCTAGTGAACTAATTAAAACTAGGTTTAGATACAGGGTTCTGTTCTTGAAATACAGTGATGTAAAAAAACCTCTAGTACAAAAAAAAGGAGATTGGTGCTTGATTTACTATGCTACTATTTGTGCCCTAGAGTTGGATAAATGATAAATTTGAAGCTTATCGATCAACTGATTAGTGCATCAGTTGTCGTGTACTAGAGATTTGATACATTTAAAAAAGTTTAATACTGATTTTTTGAATTGGGCTCCTAGAATGTGGCTTGGGCTCTCAAAAAATTTTCTTAGGCAGCAGCCTTGATGGTGTTTGATTGAATTACACCCTGTTATTACGTCTCGGAGTAAAGAGACATTGAACTTTGAAAAAACACCTTAAACAATGACAATTTTAATTTATTTTATTTTATGGATGTTCTATTTTCTGGCATCAACACTAAGCAGTCATTAAAAATTTCTCCCTGAGTGTCCATTCCACCAAACATCAACAGAACTGGAAGACTATCAACTGTTTTAGCCTGTAAAGATACACCATCACCTAGAAGTGAAAATAAATGTTCCAAATTGAGCCATTATTTATGGACAGGATTTTGTAAAATTTGTCAACAGTTACCTGTTGTTATTGGAATCTCTACAGCACAAAGTGTGTGGTCAAGTCGTGAAGCTGGATTAGGTCCATTAATTGGTGCTTTGGTCCACGTCAAGGTTTCTTCAAAAGCAATGATAAGTTCATTACACAGTCTGGGTTAAAAATAATATTAATGTAATGCTACTAAAATGGATTAGCATAAAGGTCAATTCAATTCACACTAAATGCAAAGTATCTCTGCAATGAACTTGAGGGGGTAAAAAAGTGGGGTATGCACATTATTTTCCCTTTCTGCTCGTACAAAGAGTCTTTGGTTGTATCAAGCCTACTAAAAACTTTCAGACCGCCACCGGGAAATTGCAGAGAAACTATTTAAGGAAGTTGTACAGAACAAAGAGAATAAGCCCCACGGCCTTCTCCCTGCCATTAATACCTCTAGGTCGAACCTAAGAAAGACACAGCAATTTAGGCCCGTTTTCAAGATGAACAGATTCCGTAATACTTTTATTACATTCAATGCCCTCAAGCTTAAACTGTGTTCCCAATCTATAGTTTTAAAAATCTCGATTGCTTTTTATCATGTCAATTTGGAACTATTTTCTTTTATTTTTAACAAACCATAATTTTAGTGTAGTGTAGTCATGTAGTGTTTCTATTATTCATTATTTTCCATTTTTCTTTATAAATTGGCTTATTAGTGGTAGTATTTTTAAGTAGCACCTACGTACTTACTTTCAGAGTTAAGGCACGTGCCCCATTTCCATAGCTATAAAACCAGAAGCCATGATTTGCCACACTCTCCCTTCTCAAAAACTACTAAATACCAAGGTAGCTTCAGAATAAACAGTGCTGGGACCTGCAACACCCTACCCAGAATCATTTGCAGGGTTCTCAGTAGAAGCCGGCAACCAGCGAATTCTGCCACCTGTCAAGACTGTCAAGACGAAAGTAGCCGCCTGTTCTGGCTATGAAATTTGCCTTTGTGTGCCATTTTTTTAATAAACTATAAATGGGCATTCAAAAAGTATTCTCGAATTTTCCGCTGGAGGAACCCACTAACACGCTTTCAACTTGAGTCTACCACAGACTACTGTAGTAAATTGTTCTACGGTTCTACGGTTGTTACGATCGGCCTGCGTGACCTTTATCAATCACATCAAAGTGTCAATCATGAAATGTCCACGTTTAAATGAACCTCACCGAATTTCTACACAAAAGTTGTTGCACCAAAATGCAGGAAAACGTATCTCTGTGAACCTAGAATTTCAGAATTTCCAGGGGGGCATGTCCCCGGACCACCCTAGTAGCTCGCCACTTCAGGCCTCGCCTCAGCCCTCCGGGCTGAACTTTAGCCGCCTATAAGTAATTCTGCGCCATCTAACAAAAAAATCTACTGAGAACCCTGATTTGACAAGTAGAGGTCTATGCTCAGCGAATTTAAAAACACTAACGCCCATGGTACATGTCGCCTTTGTAACTTTTTAATTAATTTTCTAGTTTTGATGTTTTAATGTCTTTGTTTTTGTGTTGTGTCAGGGCTCCATTAAACTAGCTCTGCTAAATTGGATGCCCCTGGATACACATTGACTTTAAAAAAAGTAATCATAATTATTTGTAAATAATTGCTTAATCCAACCTCTTGGTTGCAATGTGATTATAAATAAACTATCCATCTATCTCTCTCTAAACTTTAGTACTGTATTGTTAACCTGTATCTAATGTATACACATCATCAAGAGCAGCACCAACTGAATTCATTCCACCATGAATGATAATCTTCCATCCAATACATGCTGCAGCATGGGCTGTTCGTGAGCATGGCGCTTGGCCTGTTGGCTGGAGTTTGCTCCATATGTGATTAACTAGACAAGAGGCAAAAAGACTAATATTTCAAATAACAAGTTTATTCAGTTCTGCTTAACAGTAACCAAATTAAGTTCTCATCTAAAGATGAGACATCCATGGATCACTGGTTTTGGCTGTACTGACTCTTTGCATGGTTATCTGCATCTTTTAGAACCCCTCTATAAAGAAAAATATAAATAGTGCTGCAATGCACTGATGGCAGCTTCTATAGAGAGAAGTCATTATCATATTGCCATGGTAGCAAAATTTCTGGATCTAAACAAACCATGGTCTTGCAAATAATAATTAAAAAAATGACGTGTAACTTTCTTGTGCATGCTTGTAGCAGGAACAAAACCATAGCCAATACTTTTCATCTATTGTTCAACAATGCAGACGGTCGTGTCTGTCAAGAAAGATTGTTGAGATCCTGAAGTTTTGCTACCACGGTAATGTGATATGTCACACTTCTCCTTTCTATTGCCTAAAGCTCTCAATACACCCACTGCTCTTTCTGACTACTCCCTGCATACCCTTCTTGCTCAGAGAAAACACTGTATTCTGCAATGGATGCACTGCTCTTTGGGGCAGTGTAAAATGCAGACTGCAGACTTACTGCAGACTATTGTTTTTAGGGTTAGAAAATAATGAGACTATTGTTGTCACGTACTGGTGAAAACAATAATCTGCAGTCTGTGTTTTGCACTGACCGCTGCTCTTTCCATTTACATGTATCTGTATCAGTCAGGCAGAAATGAGGCAGTTGCTCAAAAATATAAAACACAGTACAGCAAAACCCTGCGTATAAGAACCTAGATTTTTCTAATTTAGCCTTAATAGGTTTTTACAGACATGGTATTTAGTGGGATTTTAGGCTACTTAGGTTCTTAAATAGGTTCCTAATTTGATAGGGGCACTAGCGATCAGCACAGATAACAACTACAGGGCATATGGAATATATTGCTGTATTAAAAAAAGAATTATCTAGAATACTGTTTAGATGATAACCAAATAGTAAATTTATCTCTCCAAAGTACTAGCATGCATGTCTTTCATGCTGCAGTGTCCATAAAATGCTGTGTTACATTTTTGATTCTTTGAATCTTACTGACTGGAACCTAGACTTAAAATGTTTTTCAGTATTTTCATCTGTGCCTTCATTTTTGTAAAATAAGACCCTACTGAAATTTTACGCTGAATAGGTTCTCATGAATTTAAGGGGGCCTGTTTAAAATGAAAATTTTAGCTTAACAAGTTCTTAAATTTTAGGTTCTTATACGTGGGTTTTTACTGTACTGTAATATAATTTTTTTGTCAGTTTTAAAGGTTTAAAGACTTGTTTATAGTGGAAAGTGCACTTAGCTTATCCCGCTAGTTTACATTTAAATACTTAGAAACAAATAATTCAATCATTCTTTTTTTAAATAATATTTTGTCAGAAGGTGTAATAATTTTATGACTTTTGCAACAAGTCTGGTTGGCATACCAGTGTCAAATCTGTAAAGATCATCAAACATATCTGTTCCAGCCATTCCACCATGAACATAAATATCTGTTCCAACTGCAATAGACACATGACCGTGACGGGAACAAGGTGGGCTGCCCTTCACTTCAGGCTGACTCCAACTGTTGTCCTCTCCACATGCAAATAGAACAATATTATTGTGATTAACCTCAATACCATGAATTCGTTATTTTGCTTGTAAACATTGGTTAAGATTTGTTGATCAGTGCCACACATCAGCTTCAGCATTCAGTTGAATCAGCCCTTCAATTCTACTCACAGTGCACAAAGTTACATATTATTTGTAACAGGAAAACATAAAATTTTATTGTTTTTTTCCCACTCTTAATGTATTTATGGCCTGCATGCTTCACACTTGGGGTAAATCTGAACTTGATTGGTACAGTTGAACCTCTCTTAAGAGGCCACCATCTATTACATGTAAGGTAAGTGGCCAGAGATCAAAGTTCTGAAATAATTATAGAAAAGTTCAAATTAAACCTCTCTTTAATTAAACAATTGCGGCCACTTTTTGGCCATCCCAGTGAGAGTTGTCCCATTGTTGTCACCTCTATCAAGTGGCCATCAAACACTTGATACACTTAGTTTGACTTCATTTTAAGAATATGATGAAGGGGAATAGAGTCCAAGATTGAAGGTGACAACTGATCATGGACCTCTTCCATCACATGTTTGTTTTAAAATAAAGTTATGTTTTTGCTAAAGATGATGCTGATTAATGACAAACCTCTCCTGAGCGGCTACTTGCCGGTACCCCAAGGGTGTCTGCTTAATGGAAGTTTAACTGGATCACCATTACAACTGACTATGACCACTGTATTAAATGTTATCACTATATGTAGTTTAATACTTATTTCAATTATGTCTTGATTTTGAAACACATTTTTCTAACTGAGTGAGTAGAATAGGATATCATTACATGGAGAATAACATGAAACATAATTATTACTAGTTTCAATCATGATGGTACATCTTACCAGCGTTAAAGACATGCAAAGTGGTATCTGGCACAGGATCAGGACCACTTAATCCACCTCCAAACACATAAAACTTGCTGCCTACTGATGCCATAGAATGACATGTTCTTGGAGAAGGTGGGTTCCCTGTTGTCTCAACTGTTTCCCACTGGCCTTTCTCTTAAAGATAATTTGTAAATATTGCTAAACGTTACTTATTCACTCCTGGAATGTTGTCAAAAAAAGGGTTTTGAAGCTAGTCAGACCAATTTTTTGGTCACTGTATGGTTATAAAGAACCAAAACACGCCGTTTATACGAGAAGAGCTCCGTAGCCTTCGGTTCCATATACTAAATATTGGCTTTAGAAGTTCTAGCATGTGTACAAAGCAAAGTTTTGAGATAATTCGTGGGTGTTAAGTGACAACACAGTCTCAACTTTTACCTTTTACTTTCCCTCCTTCTCTCCTCTTTTGGGAAGGAAGTAAAGGTGGGTGGTGGAAGAAAATTTTCATTGGAATTTTGGTTCAGCTTTTTATGGTTTTTATACCTTTTTCTCTGGCCTTCTTGACCGAATCATTTTTGTTCTCCTGTCTTTGAAAGATCTCTTCCCCTTGCGCAAGATAGGGCCTGTTAACATGGAGGTAGGGGACCCCAGGTAGGTCAGGTAACCCGCTTAGGCGGGGTAACCCGCCTGTCCATAAAATCTCTTATTTTAATTTGATCACGTTTATGTGATAAGTGGGGTGACCCGCCAAATGTTACCTCACCTATCTGGGGTCCCCCACCTCCACGTAAACACGTTGTTGTCACAAGGAGTACAAGGGACATGGATCCGCCAGGGTGGTAATGAGTGGTTCAGGGACAAATGGATTAATACATGCTGGTAACCTTAATTAATTACTAAAATAGTTGCCAGTTCTTTAAATGAGAAAAACACAATTAATATTACCATAACTACAACCCCTCCCTCACAATCCAGTGGCTACTTCAAGTGCCTAGAGTGCACACGTACATATACAGTATGTTGATCGAAGGCTGATTTTGAATCTTTTGCCAGCTTCTTACCCTACAGTGTCTATTGACATAGATGTACACTACGTGACTATTGAACATGACTATACAAAATACTCACGTTACCTAAATCAAGAAATTGAACATCGTTCAAGTTTGTAGCCTGCTGAGCTCCACCAAATACATAAACCTTCTGAGGATTACACTCAGGAATGAATGCCGAGTGCTCATAACGACTGGCGATGCCCTTCCACTCTGGACAGCTCCACTCATACTTTTCTAATGCACCCAAAAAATAGAGGAAAGAAAATATCACACCTCACATTTCATAGTTAAAAAAACTGGAAATTCCAAAAGGGAAAGCAGTGAAATAACATAAGTAATCTGTGAGCATAAAATCAATGAGCCAGTCTGCTGAGTATGGCAAGTGCATGCATCAGTCTTTTTGTCAAAATTAGGCTCAGTACAAAATGGCTCTGCACATGCAAGTTTCTCCTTGAGTTCTGCCACACTCTGCAGGCTAGTCGACCAGTAATGCAGAAGGTAATCAAAAAATTATGAATAACACCAATGATTAATCAATGACATTATGAGACAAAATACTCGATTCTCAATAAGCCAGAAAAATTTGTTCGCTGTAGTAAATGAGCGACTCGTTACTTTCTCTGAATCTGGCGACAGCAATATTTAATATTAAACAGCTGATGATTCGCTATTGATTAGCTAGCTATTCATGCCACCCTTTGTTTTCTTTTTCGTCCTTGGTTCAGCTTTCACGTGGCTGAATCTCTTACTTTTTATGAACCAAAAAAATATATACAACAAGCTACAGGCTACTGATCTGCTATATAAATGTCGGGTGAAGCGATTATAAACTGAGCTTGACATCTGTCAGTCAAGTCTCCATGGTAACCGTTTCACTTAGACGATAGTTATCTCCCCAAACCATCGTCTAAACCAATAAATTGTATATAAAGCAACAAGAATACACTTTTTATAAGAACACACCTAGATCCAAGACAAACACATCAGCAAAAGATCCATCGGGGTTTGCTCCTCCGATCACTAAAACACGTCTGGATTCACCAGCCACAAATGTACAAGTATGGCCTACTCTAATGCATGGACCATCTCCCTCCGGAGAGAGAACGTACCATACATTAGGTTTTGGAGACGTTTTAGCCTCTAGGATTGGAAGAATCTCCATTTGACAAATAAATTTACTCTTCTCTCGAGTTCGAACGTCCTCGTTCTCCCGCCATTTTGATACTGAGCCAGAAGTTTTCCAGTCAGCGGATTTTCTTAAAGGTGACATGCCTCTCCTTAATTTCGTCACCAGACCCTTTTCAACATTGAACGTGGCAAATCCAAAATGGAGGAAATAGTGATTGTGTTTACAATCGCCTACGCGCTTGTTTCACTGTGTTTTGTGGCGCCTCCAAGAGAGTTTGTCAGTGCAGGTTTAACCGTGCAGAATATCCTGTCTGGATACTTAGGGAGTGAAGATATGGATTTTGTTGGCTATCATTTGAAAAGAACTACTTCCACTGTGTTACTTCACTCATTGCTTCCACTTGGTAAACATGAGCACCAAGCTAAGATAGTTAGATACTTTTATTTTTATCTTTTTTACCATTGTATTTAATATTCAAATCCCGTCTCCCCTCTACTGGAGGTACAATTGAATTTTAACATGCGGGAATTTTTAGGTGCGGACATATTTCTTCTCTAATTAGAGACAGGGAGAATCATCAAACGTTGGTGCTGACGTACATGTACAGCTGTTACCGTCCCTTCGGCAGAAAATTAATGGGCGGAATTTTAGAATACCTGATTACTTATCCAAACGCTTTAAAGAACGACGCACAACACAATGTTCAGGTTTTGTTTTTAAACGAGATACAAATAAATGGCCGGGTAATCTGAGCTGTCAGTCACACAGGCTGGAGAAAAACATAAAAATGAAAACCAAGTAAAACTCTTTTCTTAAAGGGATTTTTAAAATGACAAATCTTTTTTAAACTTATTTTGCACTCCAGAAGAATAGGGGAGAATATGAATGTTTTTATTTATTTTTTATTTTTTTCATACACTCAGGTTACTATATTTGTTTGGGACTGGTTTCACCTAGACTTCGGTTGTTTGAGCCAGCAAGAGCAGGATTATCTGCTAATATTTGTCTGTTAGCATGTTTGAGTATTGCTCTTGGTGGTGCGGTTTGTGCTAGATATTGGTCTTGGAATAAATGGTAAGTTCATGAACAAGGTGTATGTTGACATGACTTTGTACCCGGTATGTACCGTAATCAACAATACACAATACCAAGTTGTGTGAAAGCAGTTAGAGAAAATCCAGTGCCAGTTTATATCAGTCTGTCTTTGAACTACATAGTCCTCACTGTTGTCAGGTTTCAGTTGTTAAAAACACGGACAACGCTGTGGACAAATCTTTGAAAGATGGAGCTACACAATTAACTTTCCTTTTACCTAAAGTTGGAACACACTAGGCAACAAGTGACAACAACACGTTGCAGTGACAAGTCATATCGTATATACCGGAGAATTTTTGCAACAATATTTGTCTCTGTGACATAATTTATTGTCTCAGTTTGTGAAATCAGAAAATCATGAAATCAGATTGAATTCATTCAAATTGTTGCAACAACAAAATTCTATTGTGGAAACAAAGATCATAAAAAGGCTCCAGTACACACAAAGTATTAGTGGCTGCAGCCTGTCCAGAACTTGTCACCCAACCTGTACACAAGGAGTGATTTGTTGCCAGGACATTTTTCAGTGACATGTTGCTAAGTGTTTTCTGACCTTTAATGTATCTGCTGGAAACAACTGATCTTGAAAAAATCCTGGCAAATTGCAAATGATCAGGCTGATTCTTTAAAACTGTTTATTTACTGAAACTGACTAAACTGCAGTGTTAATCTCAGAAAACTCAATATTATTGTCTGTCAACAGTTGAGACATGTATTATATGTAGATAAAAATCTAAAGGGCATTTATCTGCATCAGTTGACCTAAGCAATCATTACAAAACAAGTTCAAGAGACTACATTATTGTGTAAAAGAAATAGAAAATTATTACCATTCAGCTAGCCTGCGTTACAGGTGCCGGTTATTATATTTTTTACAGGCTGCGTGAGGGGCAAATGTGAATATAGGGGAGAGGAGGCACCTGCAGTGAAGGCCCTAGTTTTCCATTTTCTTTGTTTGCTGATGGTGCATAAAATGCCATTGGCTAAGAACGCCCCTTTGGGGTTAGTCCCAGGGAGTTTGTCTGTCACCCACCTCAATGCGTAATAAATTACCAGTCAATGGAATTCAAGTCTTGTAAAGAGGCCCTGCCGGGGGGGCTCATGTCGCCCGTCTGAATTTTAAAACGTCTCGTGTCGGTGTTTATAAATGCTTGTTGCTTATTGTCAGCTTTGCCGTCACTGTTGCAATTTGGCCGAGGGAGGTTGTCTCTTGTCGTGAGTTCATTTTACGCGCTGTCGCTACCTTTTGGGCCATGTCGCTTGTCAGAATTTACCCTGGCAGGGCCTCTGTAAACACCCCTGTCACAAGCAGCATGACAACGGCTGAAAAACTGTTTAAATCATGCTTGCAAGGAATATTTAAAAAAGCTCAGCTGGAGAAGATTTTCGATTTCAGTTTTCATTTTTGAAAAGCATTGTGCCATCTTTTCTGATAAAGATCTCTTGGCAGTATTACCAGCTGGGTTTCAAGAAAGTTTAATTTTCCATTTTATTTGTATATTTGGGGTTCAAAGACTGGAGCCATCTCTGCAAGCTTTGTCATTGTTTCCCCGTTGCAAAGCAGCTGAGGTAACTTCTACGGAATTGTCAGTGTGTTAATGAGAGAAAAACTGGACTGTTTAAAAGAAATATAGCAAGGAAAGTATAACATCACATATGTGTCAGCTGAAGCAGCGATGTATAAAGGATTGATGATTGAAATTGCTAACACTGCCCAACAAAAATATAGCAGTGTCATAACGTTCACGTTTGTGACTGCGGACAGCGGTAGCGGTAGATGAGGAATGATTCAGTGGCCAGCTATTCTGAAGTTTAGTGTCATTTGCTTTATGCAGCTATAACCAAAATACACAAGATTATATTTTCCTTTGGGTTTGTCGTTGGTTTCATGTCGTTAGATGATCGTCTTTCAATCAATTTTTTGTCAGTTGAAGCAGGACTGTCACATTATTAAGCTGGGGGCGTAATTGGAAAACCAGGGTCTCTGCGGCAGTCATCTCCTCTCCTTTTCTCCTTTCATGCGTCCTCTAGATTTCTCCTTCGCCCTAAAAAACCAGCCCCTGTTACGCATGCTACCATTCAGCTAAAACATATTTCTGTATTTAAAAATCAATTTCTCACATTGTTTTCATAAGAAATATATACAGAACAGATGCATAACATTAAATTTTACATTGATATTAGGGGCTAGTGATAGATCTGCACTTTATAAATCCTCAAAAAGAGGTGCTACATTATTTTGTTTTGTTTTTGTCCAGGTCCCACCATCCTTTTGCAAAACTGTTACTTAAGCATGGAAGCCCTTGGAGAGCTGTAGCATCAAGTGTTAACATAGAATTCCGTCGCATCACAAAATTTTCTTCAATAATTGGAGGCACCAGCCTTTACATCACAGATTCGTGGATAATTAGGTGCTCGGCATACAAAATAGACATTGCCCATCAACCTGATGTCCACTTGTCAATCATTCATGCAGAAGACCATGCCATTTCTCACGAGAGTAGCATTGCTGTGCAGTTCTTGAATATCAAAGTTTCTAGCATCACGCCAGGGGTTAAGCCCTTTGTTATTAGACTGAACTCCACAGATTATGGCGACCTGAGGGAAAAGCTGCAAGCTCCAATCAGAAATGCAAGGAATGTTGTAATACACCAGTCACTTAGCGACAAGTTTATTGAGGCTTTTAAGGAACAAGTTGCACAGAATAATGCCTATCACTTACAGGATGGAGAAGAGGTGTGTATTGTTTGTAGGAAGGTTCTAAAAAAGGCAAAGCTCAAAACAAAAATCATTAATCAAGATCATTGTCTATTTTCTCTTAGGATAATCAAAATGAATTACGATTGCCTTGAGTTTCATTTGTGAGAGTGGTTACCTCCTCAGATATCATATTAAATACAAAAAATTCCATTCCTGGCTATCTAACCTCATTAACCTAAGCTAGGGTGTAGTAAAGAGAAAGCTAAGCAGTCTTATTTACTAGTCCAGCTGGCTTTTTACTCAACTACTCCTTTGTAATTACCCCACGAGTTTACTTTCCTTGCATTTTGAACTGGTGGTAAGCTCTCTTTCAGTCCATGAAATTCACCAGCAAACTGCTTCTTAGCTTCATCCCCAATTGAGCTGTTTGTCTTGGAATTCTACCAGCTGTAAAAAGAGTGAAAAGAGTTTCACTTGTAGTCATTGTCCCTTTCCTATCTATTTTGTAAAGGCTAGTCTGTTTTCCTTGCATTTTTTCTTTTCAAAGGTTTCTTTGTATATTTTGTTGTATGTACACTGTAGCAAACTAATGTGGTATGGCCTGAACATCCCAGAATTTAATTCAAATTAATTATACATTATACATCCTTAATCATCTATTTTTGTCTTTTAGGAGCCTGAACCATGTATTGGCTGCATGCAAGCACCTGCAAATATCAAACTACGGAAACTGTGTGCTTCAGCTGGAGAGGGACAATGTGTGCCCTGTTATTGCCGTCCAATGTGGTGTATAGACTGTATGGGCAAATGGTTTGCCAGTCGACAAGATCAGCACCAGCCTGAGGGGTGGTTAGCAAGTACCTCGCCTTGTCCAACTTGTAGAGCAAAGTTTTGTATGCTTGATGTATGTTTGGTTGATAGATGATAGTGGAAACACACAGCAGGGGTAGATGAAAAGTGTTCGTGGCCACATTGTATAATGCATTGTCCTTGACAGAGAATTTTAATAATCGTCTGTCTTGTTAGCAGTTTTATTTGACTGTTGTCACAGTCTTTTCTTTTACTCCTCTTAAAGTCAATAATTTTTTTTTAGTATAATGATTCAACTTAGAGGGTTTAGAATCAAAGGTGCGAGCGAGAGGGAGTTACAATGTTGCTCTGATTCTCTTCTTATCACCATCAAATGGTGATATGCAAGTGCTGTATCATCTGCTAGTGTTATGAGAAACAACTCTCTCAATCCTCAATAAATGTTGTCATCTGCACATATGGTAAATAATACTGAGTGCTTGATCTCATAGTGCCATGACAAATTTCAGATGGATTGCTGTTACCACAATACTCTTTGTTGTCCATCCAAACGTTTGCATATAGTGTAAGCATTGTTTTCAATTTCTTTTGGGCCAATATTAAAATAATGTTGTAGGTTCCAAGAGAAAATGAAAACAATGCTTATGCAAAATTTTGGAGACTAGAGAGAAAACAAAGACTATAATGGTGGTGTTTTTGAAAAAGGCCTATAAAAATTGTGTCAAATATTACTATAGAGATAAATAAATTATTACCAATATTTGGTTATTGTTAGTGTACCGTCAATATATCAGGTTAAGTCAGACATCTGTAAGGTGCGACTTATTTTTACCAGATCTGCATTATTACTGAAATGACTTTTCATAAACCTGTTGTGCAAAATGTCTCATATGGTGAAAAGAAGTTCAACGTAAAGCATTGTCTCAGTAGTATGTTGATTTTTGTTATGATTGCCTGTTACTGCTAGTCCTTTTGTCCTGGCAGAATTCATATTTTTTAAATATTGACCATAATAATTCTCCTACCCTGCAAGCAGGTGGAATTGACTGATGCATAATGGCCACAAAGGATATAAAAATGGGTTAAATACCGATGAATGTTTTTACAATTCAGACTAGGGACATACACTGTACCCCTTCCTATGAGGGCCTGATCATTCGGTTGAGATAGTTAAGAAATTTTTCTTGCTTCGAAAATAGTGATATCTAACTCTTGATCATACAGAATAGTTTGATGACTAAAACTCTGAGAGAGAAGCTCAAAGAAACGTTTGTCTCTATCGTATCGTATTTTGCATGACAATAGAACTACCGAGGTTGCATCGCATAAGTCTTGCAATGTTTTCAGCAAATCATTGAAAGTATCCTCGATGTAAACGATGTCTGCTCCAAGAACAAAATCAAAAGGTGGCGAAAAAGATGAAACGTTTTGTCCCCATTCAAGCTCCTTTAGGGTAACTCTATTCTGATTTTTCCCTAGATTTCCCTCTACATTCATCCTTGTAGTATTCAGAGCCATTTTGCGGTCCGTTATGGTAACATCGCCACCGAGTAAGCTAGCCACTATCCCCGCAAAACCTGTCCCAGCTCCTAATTCGATCACTTTCTTTCCCCGCAGTCGCGCCGCTGTCTTCTCAAGATATCGACCAAGAACGATTGCCGCATCCCAAATAACTGCGGCAACACCAACATCGTTCCAGTTTTGGAAGACAGTAAGAGTCCTTCCAGCAAATTCGAAGGTTCTTTCCTTAGCGTAGAATGGGCTCAAAATGGCCGTCGATGGATCGTAAGGAACGAGGGCCATTTCTGAGAAATTTCCCGAGTATGAAGGAATAAAACAAAAGAAAATCAAAGCAATTATCACTCTGAAAGAACGACTGTGGCAAAACTGTACAAAACACCTCTGAAATTCAGGCATAATATGCAAGCACGCGATCAAAATTCCGGAGACAAAGGGAAGAACACTTTTTGCCAGGCGTTCCATCTAGGTCCCAGTCTTCAGATTTCCAGTCTATTCTCGTTCGATTTATTCTCATTGATGATGTGACGGAACTCTCTTGCAAAATAACCACTTTGTTCTCCTTGCTTGGTCATAACCGGTTTTCCTGGAACAAGACGTTGTCGGAGTAAGATATTCCAAGGCAGATAAGATGTGTGGTTTCCATTTTTGAAGTTTAACCTGAAAAGATGGGGTCTAAGGTGGACGCAAAAGTGGTCCTTCTTGGAAAAGAATACAGTGGAAAAACAAGCTTAGTAGAAAGATATTTACACCATAGATTCAACGAAAATGTTCCCTACCAGAACGTAAGTTGTGAAATCGTTAAGATTGTTCCACGAGTAACATAGCCAGGCTTAAACGTTCCTGCTAGCCGGTGAAGTTGCTTAAGCTTGGAAGCCTAGACTGTGGTATTTACATAAGTCTTAAGCTTGAGTTGAACTTAACATTACACGGAGATTTTACTCAGGCTAAAAGGTTTGGCAATTCATCGTTTCTGTTTATTGTTTCCGTTGGTCAAGTACCTTTCGCTCTCTAAATTAAGCAGTGATAGCTACAACAGTTGAAAGAATAATAAGATATGCCAAAAATGTATAGCAGCCGAACCCTCCTTCCCATGCCCCCACCCCCTGCACCCATCCCAGCTGTTGAAAGCTAAGCCACTACAGCTGTGGCTTCAGACTTTTTCGATACGGGTAAAGACTACAGTATTTTTTTGGCATAAGACTCTTCATTATATATTATACAGTCAAAACCTTGATTAAATGGCCTCCTATGAAGCAGCCATCCTATTACCAGAGGTCTGGTAGATAAAATTGCCTGTTAATCAGAGTAAACAGAAACCATTTACGCAGCCAGTTAATAAGACAGCCTTATAAAATAGGTTATCTTAACATAGCCGGAGTAAACTGCTGACATTGTGTGACTCCACTACTTGTTTCCCTGAGAAATGATGTTTGTGGAATGACTGCAGAAATACCTACCTGATGATGCATCACTACACAGATCTGATTGGCTGGGGCAAATTTCCCTTGGAAGCCATTTCGCAGGGAGTGCTTGGAAGCATTATTTATTTATTTGTTTATTTATTTTTCGTGGCCTGTCTGTAAAGTAGCTAATTACCTTAGCTAAGGACATTGACCACGTTTTATGGTGCCTAACTGAAGACGCGTCACTACACAGATCTGATTGGTTGGGACAAATTTCCCCTAGAAGTCATTTTGCAGGGAAACCTGTGGTGGCATCATGATATGTGGGATGTTTTCTCAGGCTAATTTGGACACTGCTAAAATAATATTATAATTTTTCCTGATATTGCCTTTTTATTATGTTCCTGAATGCTGTACCAGTATCTTGATCTCAGACTAAAACATGGGGACACTTTTTTATTTTGTAATCTGACTGTCTCCTTCTCTATCATTCACCCTTACAAAGTTAGAAGTTGTGATATTAGCATCATCACCCAAAACAGCAAAGTACTAAGAAGAACTCAGAGTTTCTAAGTTGCTGGTTCCAGTGACTGATGGAACATGTTCTCAAGATTAAGCATTTTCACATGTTCGGCCATCTTGACCATGCATGAGGCTTTTTTTGCACCAAGGGATTACTTTCTAGCTTTGATTTAACAGCTGCATAATTATTGATTTCCTCAGTGCCTTAATGTGAATTTTAAGGAAAGTAACATGGAAATCATGTATGAGAAGGAGGACAGTTTAGTGCCCAAGAACTAACTGAAAAGGAATGATAAAGTGTTTTACTACCACTTCTCTTTGATCTCAACTTTAGAACGTCGTTTATATGGTCAGCAATATGTCAAAAAAATTTGGCCGTGCTAACAGGGTGGCCGTATTATTGGGGCAGGCTCAAATTTCATGACTTGCGAGCCGTAATGAAAGATACACCGTACATCAGTCGCATGCGCATTTCTTGAAACAACTGTTCTTATTAATAAACAACTGGAATATAGATATCGTGTAAAGTAATTGAAAAAACTACTTAAAATTTTCCTTCAGTTCATAAAACACTTTTAAAATTTGGCCATAAAATCACAACAAGTCCTCTTTATGTGAACTGTGGTCTAAAAACAGTACAAGAACGGGCTCAAAGTACTAGCTAAGCTGAATAAAATCAACATGTAACAGGGGGTTTTAATTTTCTAAATTTCGAATAAGTGGCTGTATTAATTAACAGGGTGAAATCATAAGAGATTCTACTGTTTGGGATTTTAAAGTGTGGCCATTGGCTGCATTAACAGGTGACCGCATTGATGGGTTTTTTTATAAGGTAATGTATGGCCGTTTTGCCGGGCCAAAAAAGTGGCCTTAATAACAAGGTTACCTGTATTCTTGAGGTGGCCTTAAGTCGTGGTTCCTCATTTCTTTCATTGCATTCATTCATTCATTTCTTTCATTCATTCATTTCTTTCAGACAATCGGGGCAGCCTTTGGTGCTAAAAAGGTCACAGTGGGTAACAAATGTGTAACTCTTGGGATCTGGGTAAATTTATTTATTTAATTTATTACTTGAAAGAGTGTGTAGACAAAGCTGTGATTGATTTCTGAGCAACTGCTTCCAAATGCCTGGAGAGGGTCTTAATAATTCCATACTGTCTTCCCATTAAATGCAATGATATTAATCTATTATTAATCAAAATGGTCTCATGACCAAATTTAAAGGCTGATACAGGACAAGAATAATAAAGGAAATTGATGTTTTTGCAGACAAATTGTTTCTTCTACATGAAGAGCATATCAGTGGACAACATTCAACCCTAAAAATATTAAAGATCATCTTGCCAAAATTGAGCAACTTTCCTGAAAGCACCTTTGAAAATGAGTAAAACTTCAAGGTGACATTTTGCATAGATTCTTTTGACTGGTATATGGTCCACTTTTTCAGTTTTCATTTAAACAACTTTACAAACTAGGTATTCTCTGTCACTGTTTGATTGACTACAGCATAACATTAATCAGTAAGAAGAGAGCAACAGTGGCAGATCCAGGGGAGCCCCCCCCCCCCTTATTTTCAGACCAAACTGAGGCCCAAAGGACGGAAAAAAATTTTTTTTGAGACCGGTTCCCCCCTTATCTATGGGTGTGGGTGACCATGCTCCCTGCTTATCCAAAGGTCTGGATCCGGAGCTGAACAAAATATTATATTATAGCCTTACGGACCCCAGTCTTGAAATTGCACCTACTAGTGGCTTGCATGACCAAAGTTGCAGTAAGAATGTTCATCATCACATCTTTTTTGTCTTTTTTTTAACATCAGGATACAGCTGGTTCTGAGAGGTATGAAGCCATGAGTCGGATCTATTATCGAGGAGCTAAGGCAGCTGTCTTGTGCTATGGTAAGAAGTACATGCCTGACTGTACAATGATTAATATAGGCTGTTTTTCTACAACTGAAGATCCCCTTTCGTTAACACATTTGCCGCTGGATCCGTACGGGCCATTTCGTACTGCTCAGGGGCGAATGGGTTAATTATTGTTATTTGAGTAATGAGTAGAAAAACCTACCCCTTAAATTTCATTTATTGGTATAGTGAAGTAGTTAATTACTTAGTATTTGATACTAATTTAAAAGGAATGATAATGATTAATTTCTTATTGCTGAATCCCACTACCATTATTCTATACTATTTTGAAGATAGTTAAAGCTAGGTAGGTACCAGACGGCTTGAGGAAACAGCACTGAAATTGCAGACCGATGACTCGTCACTACCCAGATCTTGGGAGTGCTTTTGATTGGTTAGAAATTTACTTCATCTAATCAGAAGCACTACTATGTTACATGTACATGTACAACCCAAAGTATTCAAAAAAGAATAGTTTATATAGCAATCCAGTTCTCTTGATACTGGCCCTGAGAAAAATATAATTGCCCAGGAAATCTCTTTTAACCCTTTAAGCCCCAGTATCCACATACAAATTCTCCAAACTGATCTCCATGCATTTCCTTTAAGAATAATTAGTTGAGAGAATTTAATAAAACATCAAGGCATTTTCTCTTTCATGATCATTTTTTTATATTCTCACAACCTGATCTCTTGACAATGTATGGACATTGTTAGGAGAAAATTGCTGTTGGTCACTATTGGGACTTAAAGGGTTAATAATTAAAAAGTTAAATGGTGATTGATCAGGGCTTCTAATGACAGAGAAAAAAAAGATATTAATAATAACATACATTTGTAGATTGCAGTAAATGTTGTTATTTCATTTTTTTTTTTCATTATTTCCACAGATCTCACAGACAGGTCCAGTTTTGAAAGAGCAAAATTCTGGGTAAATGAGCTCAAGACATATGAAGATGTATGTATGAAAAATAATGGAATGTCTCTCTCCTTCTGACTTATGATAAGGTTCAGGAGACTAAGGAAATAAATTGTGAATGAGAATCAAACTAGGTTGAAATCACTTCAAGTTGAATTAAATTTTAAGCATGTCAGCTGATCCTTTTTTGCCCTGACTTCATGTTTATGTTATCTTGAATTAAGAGTTAACACAGACTGTACTCATTTTTTACTTTTCACCTTAATCTTGCTTGATAGCGTATACTACACAGTAGAATGTAGTGTAAGTGATGACAAGTCTAAACAGTGAGAGATTTAGTTTGGATTTTCATACACATTTTTTTTCTTTTGCAGAATTGTAAAATATATCTTTGTGGTACCAAATATGATATGGTTCAAAACGACAAAAAATTACGCCAAGTAGACTACCATACAACAACAGATTATGCAGATGGTACGTGGAAAAGATCAATAATAATTTATAGTTAAAATCATAAAGACTCCAGCCATCACTCAATATACCATAGTGCATCCAAAAGCATTATTTTGAATTCCTTGCTCTTGATTGGCAAAATAAATATTCAGAAGCTGTAATTCAAATTGCTACTGAGAATAGCTTGGCAAGTGTTAGGTGGTGCTTTTTTCGGCTGTTCTCCAGAGTACTAAATTCTGCCTGTACTGATTTGCCCAGTAAATAATTATACATTGTGTAGACTGTGTGAATCATTTACATCTGTATCTTGCTTGGCAAAAATGCACTTACTGTAGATAAATATTAAAACAATAGTCAATTTATTCCTCAGATTATGTATTTTAGATGACTGGACAACCTTGTTATATATTAAGTGCAGGATACTAAAGGTTAGAAGAATGGTAGTGAGATTAACTTTTGTTTTGTTTTGTTTTGTTTTTTCAGAGATAAATGCAAAAGTATTTGAGACCTCAAGTAAAACTGGGCACAATGTTGGTGAGTTGGCTTTGTGTTTTATGAATTGCTACTGGAAAAAGGCCCATTTAAAGTACATTGTATGGTGGTAAAGTTCATTACCAACTCAAGAGGGGGAAACTGGACTAGACATTGTCTATGAGGGGGTAAGAACTCAATTATGGTCAAGGGGTGCTACTAAGACTGCCAAACTATGGTCCTCTTCAAAGGATACATTTTGTATATCCTGAAGAAGGCAGCATTGCTGAAATGTCAGTTTAAGACCTTGTAACAGCGTTGATTTTATAATTTTCACGGAAAAAATTTTTTCATACCCCCTCCTCAATATTGTGATGCTTGAGAATGCAACTGGTTTTTTTTGTTGTTCCTGACAAGTATCTATGGTTGAAAATAACTTTTTGTTAGAATTTTGTTGTCCCAACTTTTTTCCTAGTGCTACAAAGATGTACAAGTGAAAATACCGGTAATAATGATAAAGGAATGTAGGAATTTAGTTGTTATGAACCAAACTTTGATGTCTCAGACAGTTATCAGTATGTTTCTGCATATTATTGTGGTTAAAGTTTGAACATTTATATTGATGAACTTCAATTGAAATGTAATCCCATTATTGTGCTTCTATGTCAATATTTCTTTAGATGAATTGTTTTTTGAACTGGCCCAAGATTATTCAAGAGAAGAAGAACCACCTGATCCAGGTGAGTGAGTCTGGGGTGGATTTATTGTGGTGTCCAAATTTTTTGTTATTTAGAATTGTGTGGTTCCAGGAAATATATCCATAGGGAAGGACTATGTAGACCCCCCCCCCCCCCCCCGGTTTTTTTAAGCGGGCCAAAATATATTAAAGAAAGAAAAACCCCTGTGCCCGGTGGGGGGGGGTTGGGGGGGTTTTTTTTGTGTGTTCAATTTTTTTTTTTTTTAAAATTTGGTGGGTCCAGAAAAAAAAACCAAAGGGAGGAATAATTTGGCCCCCCCCCCCCCCCCCAGGAATTACATTTCCTATGGGTGGGGGTCTATAGGCAAAGCCCTATAAAGTGGGGGTATGGTCATATTTTATGTGACTGCACATTGTGACATACGTGTTCTGTTCTTATAAAAGGTCTTTATGAGAAAATCCAGACAAGAACCATTGCACAGAAAATTCTTGATAGTTTCCATAAAGAACACAGAAATCATCCATCTGCAAAATACAGGAGCCACACAGTCATTTCAAAATTTTACCTTTAAAAATAAGTTTAATTAAGTCTTGAAAATTACATTATACTGTAATATTATTCAATTTTATTTTAGCAGCTAACTAGTATCTCTTACTTTTATAAACCAGTTGCTCTAGATTAATTTATTTCATTAAACCATTTTACATTTTTTCTCTGTTCTAAAGGAGAGACTGAAAGAGACGCATTGGAATTAACCGAATTTCCACAGCGACATGGAAGAGCAGCCTGTTGTGGCATTAAATTATGATGTTGGGCTATCTCAGCAGTTGTACAGATGAGCAGGGACTTCCCAAGAAATAGAAAACTATTATTTTTTAATCTATCATATTATGAAGAAATTTAAGATGAAATATAGAGCTGGTTAGTGACATGAATAGTTCAGTTCACTGGTAAATATGATTAATATAGAGGGGTAGCTATATGTATAATGTGTCTGTCTTTTGCTCAGCTGAACTGAAATGAACAATTACATGTATTTATGTCTTCAGTGCGAAAAATATTCCAAGGCAACAGTTGAACTAATTCCTCATTTTGATACCCTTGTAAGTTCTCCTTATCAACTTGTATATTCTGTATTATGTTGATCAAAATGTCAGGCTATGATAGGTGTAGGAGGGCTGTATTTTTTTCTCCTCTTGGTTTTTTTAGATTGTTGACACAACTCTCTTCATATTATTACTGGAATATTGTAATGTTATATGGGTGTCAGTAAAATGCGAGGCCGGGACAGGGACCAGGACCGGGACAGGGACAAGGTCTATCTTTTTTTTTTTAAAGAATGCTATTTTAGGGTAAGGGTTAGGGTTAGTGTCAACCCTAACCCTGCCCCGACCCCGACCCCGCCCTGACCCGACCCCGTATTTTACAGCTTAGCTGGCCATGGAAGCAGACAAGACGTTTTTAGAGCTTGATTAGTTATGAACCTATTCTTACTACTCCCTGAGTCAATAATGCTGAAATGTAGTAATTATTATGGAGTCTTATATTTTGAGTCTGAATTAAATCCACATGAAACTCCTCCTGTGATTGAATGAAATCTAATGGCATGCCCGTATGATGAGCTAGTCAGTAAGTTCAAAGGGTTTGTTTTTGGTTTTCAATGTTTTACAGCATGGGGCATATATTAGTGAAAGACTTGACCTTGGCCTAATATCGACAATGTTTCTTGATTTGTTATCAGGTAGATTTAGCAAAGATAACGGTAACGTCAAATGAGAACGCGAGAGCGCGCCGAGCAGCCTGCGAACACAGACGTATTTCCGGTAGAAGTGTCGACCGGAAATACGTCTGTGTTCGCACGCTACGCGCGGAAAGGACTGTACTCGACTTCCGTAAGTCCGCAGGATGTAAGACCCCTTGACGTAAGACCCGAGGAGGTAAAACCCATGGATAAAGGAGCCTTGAAGGTAAGGCCCATGGGCGTCAGACCACTGGACGTAAGACCCGTGAACGAGAGACTCCTGGATGTAAGATCCCAGTATGTAAGACCCCTGGATGTGAGACGACTGGACGTAAGACCCCTGAAAGCACGGCCTCTGGACGTAAGACCCCTGGATGTAAAAACTCCTATTCATAAGAGCACTGAACGTGAGACCCCTGGATGAAAGAACCCCTGGTCATAACACCCCTGGTCGTAAGACCACTGGACGTAGGATCCCTGAACGTATGGCCACTGGACGTAACACCCTTGGACGTACGACTACTGGACGTAAGACCCCTGAGCGTATAAAGACACCGGGATGTAAGACCACTAAACTTAACACTGCTAGACGTAAGAACTTTAGATTTAGGACACCTGAATGACAGAACCCCAATGTATAATGGCACTGAACGTAAGGCCTCTGGATGTATGAACACATAGTCGTAAGCCCCCTGATCGTAAGATCCCTAAAAGTAAGACCTCTGCATGTAAGACCCCTGGACGTAAGACCCCAGAATGTAAGACGCCTGGATGTAAGAAGTGCATTGTACGAAGACCCCTGGAAAAAAAGATCCCTTTTATGTTCGACCGCTGGACATAATACCCCGGGATGTAAGACCCCTGGACGCACGACCAGGGTTAAATTTTAATCCGAGTTTCTTTTTCTTTTGTTAAGAAAGCATTTTATCGGATAATTTTCCCTGTTGTTTTTAGGGCATCAAATATTAAACTTGTAGAAAAAAAGAATTAAACTGAATTGGCTTTTAAAGCTTTCATTTCTGAATTCAAATTTCACACTAACCCTGGGTTATCTTAACTCAGCTTTGAACAACCCGGCCCTGGACGTAAGACCCCTTAACATAAGACCCCTGGACTAACACACCCGAACGTAAGACCCCTACATGTAAGACCCTTGGACGTAACACTCTTGCCTAGTCCCTATACGGCGTCTTTCCAGGCCCTCTCGGTCAATGCATTTCGGTGACGTATCCGAGACGAACGGCCGGGAGACGCCTAGACAATCTCGGAGTGCGCATGCGTAAGCATTTTTGTATTTTTGAAAAGTTCACACGTTCAACTGAAATAATCTTTAAAACTGTTAAATAACTTTGCGCGTGAATATCCTTCGCTTAAAGATCGGCACTATTGACACTATTACAAAAATAACTAACCTGGTCTCTGTTATTAAAAAACAAAAATATTACTTTGAATCGGAAAGAGTACTACTGTATAACGTGCAAGTAATTTCTGTTTTAGTTCATTTTCAAACGAACCATTAAAATGATATTTCTTTATTGATAAAAAGACTTGAAACAGTAGTTTGTTGACATTCTACCAAATTTAGAGACCAAATTCAACAGCCTGTCCGATTAGTTTGACAAGCTTCAAAATCCAAAAATTAAATTACATAAAATATTTCGAAGTGAAATGATAACGAGAAATTTATAGGAGCAAGCGAAAATAGAGAAACGAAAGATAGCTTTTCATGTCCAAGAATGAATATAAACTTATTTCTTTAGCTTACCATCCGATCCTTGATCAAATAATTTTTTTGCGACGCCTACAAATAGTTTTTGACATGAAATAAAGTTCAAATAAGGTTTATGAAATAAATGAAAAAGAAAGGCCAAAGGACTTTCAACAATGAAAACGTGCATAGAATAAAAATGCTCGGTTTACCTCTTTATCCTCTGTACTCTCCATGGCTGCTGGACATCTTTCATCAGCGCGGAAAAGTTATTGACAGCTCGCCCGCTTCCAAAAGCTCCGCCCCAAGTGAGACAAAATGTCTCACTTCTCCGAGTTTGTCTAGGCCTCAANGAAACGAAAGATAGCTTTTCATGTCCAAGAATGAATATAAACTTATTTCTTTAGCTTACCATCCGATCCTTGATCAAATAATTTTTTTGCGACGCCTACAAATAGTTTTTGACATGAAATAAAGTTCAAATAAGGTTTATGAAATAAATGAAAAAGAAAGGCCAAAGGACTTTCAACAATGAAAACGTGCATAGAATAAAAATGCTCGGTTTACCTCTTTATCCTCTGTACTCTCCATGGCTGCTGGACATCTTTCATCAGCGCGGAAAAGTTATTGACAGCTCGCCCGCTTCCAAAAGCTCCGCCCCAAGTGAGACAAAATGTCTCACTTCTCCGAGTTTGTCTAGGCCTCAAAAACTTTCTCGGACCACGTGACCCAAAACGCATCGGCCGCGCATAATAATGAGGCCTAGGGACTAGGCAGGATAAAACCACCCACGGGGAAACAAGGTTATAGAAATACCAATCGATCCTACGCAGAATATAAAACTACAAATATACGTGATTACAAAGCTAGCCGCGACAGAGCAGGAAATTTATATTTGAGGGTAGGCCAAAGCCGCTCTGCTCACGTCTTCTCCTGTAAAAGCACTGTACTCAGTATTTCCTTTTTGTTCGGTATGTGAAAATTAGTACATGTATTACAACTAACTTTTTACAATGTGGAAAAGTAATTAGGAAGTTCGTCTGAACTACAGGTATTTAAGAACTATAAACCTTTTCAAATTCATAATTTTAAGCTTTTCGATGATGATGACCTACTGCTTACCATTAAACTGGACAATATGCAGCAATTTTTGTAGTCACTAAAGTATGCTATCTAATAACTACATCAGAATTGAATTTTTCATAACTGCAGCTAAAATACTCCTCCATAGCTCATGCAATTTAATCACAGTTTAACAAATTTTAAAAATACTTAAATCTACAAGAAAATACAACGTTTTATAAACAGAGATACCAACTTCTGGAGATTTTGAACCTGGATGTTATATCAGTTTTTAGGACCCTTGTCCACTGATTATCAAACTACCTTACTGTTACGAAGCCTCATGCCCGATACATATAAATCGACCCACCAGCCAGTCACCAAATAATGACGTAGGCATGGTCCAGAGCATGCAGTAAAAACCCGCGAGCGAGAACCTGGTCTTTAAGAACCTGTCAGACTAATTTTTGCGGATTAGGCTGGTGCCCTTGATACCAGAACCTGTTTAGCCTACAAACTTTGCAACAGGTTCTTCGCTAAAATCTACAAAATCTATTCTGTACATTTGGGCAAAAGAACTTCAAAATTCATGCGGTCAGTGTGGCCTAAGTCGTTCTTCTTAAAGTCATTTTTACATAAATACCAATTGGTACCATATCCAGATTCCATATAAGAAATACGATGAATACCACGAAATACCAAGAGAGGATAAAGGGGACAGAGAGGGCATGCCCCATACACACCCTATTCCATAGGTAATTTGTCTCGAGTTATTTTTAACACCACAGATCTCAAGGGGGGTTAGACAACAGCCAATCACATAGCGCAAATGTGTTCCGCGTGGATGACCCAGGCTAAGAGGCACGCCGGTCCTTTACGAATTGACGCAGAACAAAATGGCGGAAGACGCGGAGAGCGATATTGCTATTCGTTTGGTCGACGAAAACGACTACAGCGAGATTTCTGCTAAAGCTGTGTCAGCGAAACGGAAATTATAAAAGAATCGCCCTTCCTCTCTTGTATAGAGCTAACAGTGCAGCAGGGAAATCCTTAACACACTGAATATTCTCTCAGGATCATTTATAATTTACAGTTTGAAGAGAGCAATTTCTGGTTTGATATTTATTCTTTTATTAGTCTTTTATTATTCAACAAACATAATACTTGGCGTCCTACTTGCTTTATTGTACAAACGACCGGTTTCAATAGACCGGGGAAATTTCTCATTTTATTAAAGCACTGAGGTTACGACAACTTCGCGTTAAACTGATTTCACGGGTTGTCAAAGAGTTCAGCGATTCCCTTTTCCCAGGTGAGCGCCGACTCATTTCGCTTCAATATTCAGGAATGCTCTCGATCTCTTTACGCTTTCATTGCCTTTCGCCCGACATGTTTTGCACGGCGTTTAGTCATGCGAAACCTCCACGAAACACCCACGCAGCGCGCGAGGTAACTTTATCCCGATTCTAAAAATAACTCGAGACGAATTACCTATGGAATAGGGTGTGTATGGTGGATGCCTTCTCTGTCCCCTTTATCCTCTCTTGGAAATACTCGTAGCTACCATGTATGTTTTTCTTCAGGAAATAAGAACCTATTTATTATAGAGAACCCAAATTGCCTTAATTTGTGCTAATTACCATTTAATATGTAAGAACCTGTTTTGGCTCACTTGGGAAAATGGAGGTCCTTACTCACGGGGTTTTTACTGTATGTAATCTTGCATGAGTTAACCTGTGATTAAGTGGTCTTTCTTCCATTTTTGTTTGGAAGACGAGTGCTTTTTCCCCCCTTTCCCTGAAAAAATAACGCCTGATCGCAGGTTTCGCATAAGGCAACGACAATCAACAGTCTCTTCCATGACATGGCGAAAAAATGATTTTTGTCAGAGAGGGAAGACGTCCAAAAATGCCCGCGCCAGAAACCGGTTTCATTGAGGAAATTTGGTGCTAAATTCCAGGTTCTAGCAGAAGTATACCGTGAAATTCCGAAAATAAGCCCCTCCAAATATAGGCCCCCCAAACTCATAACGCAAAAAACCCCCCGGTAAAACGCCCCTCCGAATAAAAGCCACCCGGGGCTTGTACTTGGAAATTGCCCTCAAATTCAAATAAGCAAAGCGAAAACTGTACAGTAACACATAAATTTTTGCATTTGCCAAGAACTAATACGTGTGCAGTCAGAAAGTGTAACAGTTAATTGCTGTTTGCGTGGCTCACTCTTCATTCTTGGCTTCTTCATTCTTGTTCTATGTAAACAAAGTATTTGCATGTCTGCGTTTTAGAAAGATATACGTCCTTTCTGCAAATTACTGAGATAAATTTCCTTCCAATTATAAGTTAGCCCAATGAATTTTGAGACGCAAATTTCCTGCCAAGTATAAGTCTAGCCGATTTTGAAACACAAATTTCCCTCCGTATATAAGCCCCTCCAAAAATAAGCCCCTCAAAAAGGGCCTTTAAAAAATTTAAGCCCCGCGGCTTATTTTCGGAATTTTACGAATCCGAGAGATTTGGCGGACCCGTATGTTGACATCAGTGGAAACAGAAGATCTGGAGATTTGCACTGTATATTATCGGGAGGTTTCTAGAATAGTTTTGAAGGGTTAAAAAAACACGGTAGATGCACACACCATTTTCTAATCAATGAGACTGATTTCACTATAGAAATAATTCTAGAATAAAACTGAGTTTTAAAACTCTTTGATAAGATTTAAGATGCTTGAAATATAGAAGCAGTGAATTCTGGGTCAACATCTATAATAAAAAAAACCAACAATTAAAGAGGGACCAATTATTCGTCTGGGCTCCTTGTTTGTTTGTACCGAGATCTGCAATCTTGATGTACTAACAATTCATTGAAACGTATTTCTGGGTTGTAAAACCGTGCCTTGTCGAGGTTATCGATAACATCCTTATGAGTTGATTTCTTCATCCCAAGAAGTTGAGAGTGGATGTATCCTAGTTGGCGATACTGGTATGCCAAATGCTTGGTGTTCTCCTCGCTTGTCAGCTGTACGGCATCGTTTACACACACTTCAGCTTCCGTGAGGGAAGACAATAGTTCCTTTCGCTCTCTGGGGCTCTTTTTTGCCGTGTTTTTCATGAAGAGATTAAATTTGCAGCAGGCAAACTGGAAAGACAAGTAAGCGTCAGTTTTGATTACCTTGCCCATTGCGTCGAAGAGCTGGTGCGCTTTCCGATAATTATCCAGCGCACGTTCTTTCCCCTCAGGAGAATTCTCGCACTTCTCTTGGAAAAAGGCGACAGCAATTTGCTTGGCTATCTGCAGGTCATCTGCATCTGCATCTTCTTTGACAAGCTTTCTTATGATTTCAGCGCCAGCCTCGATATTAAGCGCCGGCAGCGATGAAGATTTAGACCATTCCTGAAGTGCTAATGATAAAGTAAGGCGCCGCTCAAGACGTTGAGAGAAGTGCTCTTTATACGGCTGGACATTTGGGTGATTCTTGTTGTGGTCATGCAGCTCCATTAACTTGAGTAAAAGACTATTGTGTCGTATCTGGGGATTTCGCTTCAAAAATCCCAAAAGCATCTCCACCGCCTTTTGTTTCGCACCACTGGCGCAAAGATTGTTCACTGTCTTAAGAATACCGCGCACCATAAATTTCGGGTGCCCGGGAAGACGAACCCGAAAATATGTTTCATCAAACTGAAAATCTGGTGTGTAATTTCCGTTCTCTTTCATTGAACGGAAAATAGTTCGTACTCCTGTCCCTTTCTCTTCGGCCAATTTTCTTTTGACCAGAAATTCTCCCACTCTTCTGTTTCTAGTTTTTACAGGAGGCATATCGCTGTCTTCCATGAAGTGCTCGGGCTTGAGACTTGGGTGTGGGCCAGGGTAACTTATGATGTCGATGTGGGTGGGGTAGATACGGACTTTCACAGGATCAGAATGTTCCGTTTCATAACCTCGGTGATAAAAGGCATTCACCACGGCCTCCCTGAGAGCTTTTCTAGGATACAAAACATAGGCAAGGGACTCTTCCTCTTTGTCCTTTGTTTCCCTTAGTATGTATTCCAGTGTGTCGCTCACTTGTTGGTCTATTGGCCCTACATACTCGTCTTCATGCGCAATATTCTTGTCTTGATCATATATGGTTACTTCTGTCTTTGCTCCTGGAAAATAGTCGCTTGGAGTTTCATTGAAGAAAAGCAATGCGACATTCCGAGGGACTAAACATTTCACCAGTTTTCCTCCCTGCTGTTTATCTCCGAAATTTCTCACCAGACGCATGTTTTCATAAAGCTGCCGGGGACAACGGAGGTCTTGATCACAAATGTTACTGCCGATATCGCTCAGAAACTCTTTAACAAGACTTGAGCTAATGTTCTTTTCGGTGAGCTGGTTTCCTCTCTCTGCGAAAATATATAAGGACCAGTTTCACCCCGTTGTAGAAATCAGCTGATAAGAATGTTCGGAAATTTTCTCAATAGTCTCAGGGAAGTCAATCTAATGAATTCGAACAAACTTTCAATGGGTCTTTCGATCGAACTCAATGGAACTCTGAATCCATGGATTGCATGAGTTCGAAAGTTAGAAGTTTGATCAAACGTAATCGAACTCACTCAAAAAAGTCATTTAAACAACAAAATAGGACTTTCGCGGAAAAATAGATTTAAAAACAAACTGCATCCTTGTTCGCTTTGAAACTTGGAAAAATAAATCGAACACAATCCAGTGGATTGACTTTGGTTGTGTTTGATTAATTCGATTTCGAATGGTTTGATAATAAATTATTAGATGACCTAACTCACTCAATCCATGAATTCATTTAATTCGATTGAGTGTTCGATGGTCTTCGATTACCGAACCAGTTTGATTGACTACGCAGGGAGTAGTTTAACAGTTTACAATGAAAAGAAACATGTTTTTTTAAAAAACTGTTATAAGTAGGTGTGACGATCTGTCACTTTATTAACCTTTCAAAAAATCGTTAATAAGTCATAAAGAGAAAACAAAAGAAAACGTTTAATGCGTGTCTATGGCCCCGTCCACACGTATCCGGAGATTTTTGTATCCGCAAATTTTTTTATGCGGATACAAAAATATCTGCGTCCACACGTAGCGTATACGAATCGTATACGACCGTCCACACGTATCCGATTCGTATCCGTGTATACAAAAATATACGGATACGAGCGTCCACACGTATCCGGATACACAGCGTATACAGAAATTTCCACTCTGGAGAGCGTATACAGAAATCTCCGGATACACCGAGCGTATACGGCGGATACGTGTGGACGCTAGGTGTATCCGCATAAAAAAATTTGCGGATACAAAAATCTCCGGATACGTGTGGACGGGGCCTATATCTGATAAACATACGGCTAAAATTTACGTCCAATTTTTGGACCAAAATAAGCCCAAATCTAAATATTAAAATGAATTAATTTTGAAGCCGTTCAAAAACCTCGCACTCGTGTACTATCAGGTTTAAAATCACTCGGCTTCGCCTCGAGTTTTTAAACTTGATAATACACTCCTGCTCGTTTTTAAACAGCACATAATCATGCCAAACACTAAAGCCAATCAAAATGTTCCTGTCTCGCTTCCTTTTTCCCGCCACCCCCCTTTTTTTTCCTGGAACAGGCTACAGTTACAGCAATAGTTTCGGTGAGCGCATAGTTAGTAAAGGAGACTGGTTACTGTACGAAAACCGGCAAACATCAAAGTTGAAAACAATGGTGCTGTAGTTTATGTTGAAAGCTCCCTGACCGTGCACAATCCTTTGTTTTCTGTTCCCAAATTGTGACTGAATAAATTAATGCGATGTTTCTTTTGGTCAGCAAGTTCAAAATGATAGGAATGCTATTGAACGTTGTGCACGGTCAGGTCCAACGGAGTCTAACGAGTTTCCCAACCATTCCACTTTAATAACTATCATGGTGAGTTTGTGTAATGGCATGTGGCATGGCTTGCGGAATAACATATTATGGGGATGAAATATATGCAGAATGACTCAAAGAAATAGATCAAACTGAAAAGTGCGCCCTTTTTGGCGCCAATATTATTTGTAAAGGCAGCCGCTTTTTTTAATGTTGCCTTTGTTGCGGGCACGACTACGACGACCGATCAAAAATTCACGAAGGACTCCTTCAGTTCTTACTGCCGATTAGCCTTTTTCGCATAGCCACAAAGATTCTACTTGCCTTTTTTCAGTCGGGCTGCATGGTAGCATTGATACTACATCACGAAAGTCGGCCATTGAAGAAAAGATGTTTTGGAAGGTCGCGCTCGCTTCCGCTTTAATTTTTTTCTGCAAATTTACACGATTAACTTCCCAGGTTTTTTAACCTTTATTTGTCTTTGAAACCGCGTGAGACGGTGGAATGCATGATCAAGAATGCTCAGTTTCCCTTTTTGTGGAAAAACGAAAGCTTTTCGTTACGAAACTGTCCTTGGAGGAATTCAACCTTGTTTTCTTCACGGCGGAGCGCTCTGTTTTGAAGCAACCAAGGCGGCATAATTTCCAGTACATTCTCTACTCTATGGTCAAGAAAAGTTCCTTTTTTACAGGGGAATTTTTGTATTTTTAAAGGTTCCATAGACTTTTTGTAAATTTTGACATCGGCGTGAAAAAAAAAAAAAAAAAACTACAAAATGTGCTCCGATTTGAAATTAATTTTATGTTGAATTTTGCCATGTGCTCAGCCGATTTTACTTGTGTAAATCGCAATTAAGGATTAACTTATGGGTTTTTAAAGAAAAATTTTCAAGAAATATTAGGTATTTAGCTCAAAACACGCGTACGATCGTAAGACTACAGATAGTGAGATTTTTTGAAACAGTTCAGGCGGGCTACTTGTCTTTCTTGAATTGTTATTCATTTCAGGTGTGTTTGCTTTAAACACCTCCCTCTAAATGTAAACTGATGCCGAAGGCTCCTAAAGTTAAGCGGGGGGATTTGAAGATTTCTTCTTAGTAGCTTAGTTTTTGTTGGATTAAAAGGAGGTTTCACTTTTAGATCAAATCTTGTATTTTGTTTCCTTGGCTTCCTTTGGTTTCCTTGCACACTTACACAAACAAAGGAGGTGCGAAGAGACGCGGAGAGGCCGAAAGGGGTTAGTCGAGTTAGACAGCAGTTCGCTTCATTCGATTTCTTACGGTGGCCCAAAAGTGTCACGGCAATTTCAATTTGTTCACGGTAATTTCAATTTTACTCAAGGCAATTTCAATTTGTTCACGGCAATTTCAATTTACTCACGGCAATTTCAATTTGTTCAAGGCAACTTCAATTTCACTCACGGCAATTTCAATTTTACTCACGGCAATTTCAATTTATTCTCGGCAATTTCAATTTACGGCAATTTCAATTTCTCGAGCAATAAGCCCCAAGTGCATTGTACGTTATTTCAGGAACCCATAACCCGGAGCGAGCATCTCCCATGTGTTGTTGTAACGCATTTTGCCTCTGTTTCTATTGCGTTCTTTTCTCTTTCGGTTGAAAACCGTTTTTTGCTTTTTGAATTATCTTTTGCTTTTCTCCTTATTTCTAGACTCAGATAATAAACGGGGATAAGAAGCACATCGTTTATTCTCAGGAGCGGTTTTGATTACATTCAAAACTTCGTCAAGTTCGTTGATCTTGGCTCTTAGAGTGTTTGCTAGCCTATGTACATCACTGTTTTGTACATTGTTAATTCTTGGCGCCGAGTGCGCGCTAGTGGAAGGCTGTGCTAAGTTTACATTACGGGCAGTGTTCTTTCTGCTAGACTTAGCTTGTTGGAGCTTTCTAAGTTTAATAGAGAGCCTCTCATGCTGTCTTATGGGATATAACCTACAATGTACTTGGGGCTTATTGCTCGAGAAATTGAAATTGTTGTTAGTAAATTGCAATTGCCGTGAGTAAAATTGAAATTGCCGTGAACAAATTGAAATTGCCGCGAGTAAATTGAAATTGCCGTGAACCAATTGAAATTGCCGTAACACAATTACGGGCCACCGTAATTTCTGGATTACAGATTAAAACGTTTGAGTGGTGGCGTTACGTATAGCCTGTTCCAGGCGTTCGGATAGTGGAGTGCGACGCGAAGGAAGAGAGCGAGAAAAAAGTAAGGAGGAAAAGACCCACACCACCCCACCCCTTCGTTATTTTTTTTCTACTCACATATCTCTTTGCGCTGACCCCACGATCTGAACGCCTGGAACAGGTTACGTTACGTAAGACACGAAATATATGCTGTCAGTGCTTATTTATTACTTAGCATGCAAGGAATAAGTGGGAGGGAAATGCAGTGAAGCTTACCGCTAGTAGAAAAGATTTCCTCCACAATCCATGCTGCTCTGCCTTGTTGATCCAGCAGTAATAAACTGACCGGCAAAGTGGATGATCCCTCAAAAAAGGCGCGGCAAAGACGCGCGCATACTTTTCTGTTTAATTTATTTCTTTGCGCAATTTTCTATACATTACATTCTGCCAAGAGCCATAATGGTTCTTGATTCTGGATATTTATGTCATTCCGCAAGCCCATGCCACCTGCCATTCCGCCACAGATGACCCAAGTGTGAGAGTTTAATCGTTAATGCATGTGGTTTCATATTGCGTAATCCTTAAAATGACCGTGATTATAAAGGATCTTGTATGGGAATTCACAGGTAAAAGACTCAAGTAGATATAGACGGTAAGCTGTATTTTATTGAAAATTCTAGCGAGTATTTATCTACTTGACGGTCACGGTCATTTTAAGGATTACGCAATATGAAACCACATGTATTAATGATTAAACTCTCCCACTGAGCTTGGGCCGCCTGTGATTCTTACCCTCACCGCAGTAGTTTGAGCCTTGTCTAGGTCATGCACGTCAATGGAATGGTAAGGCATCCGGTTTAAACCTGAATTGATGTCACGCAAATTAAGTCTATTATAACTTCTACATGAAATCTATGAGAAATGCTCAGTTTAGTCCAAGAAATCAAAACGTTCTTGTTCCCTTCTTGTTAATTCGTTCGAAACAGTATTACGAAAGAAGTATATATATGCTTGTGAGTTTTCTGACGTATGCGGAAATCTTTTTGTGATCCGACACCGAATCTGTTTTGCCTGACATTTTGCCAAGAACTTCTTTTCAGGACAAAAGTTGAAATTATTAGCTACATAGCATAAAACTGAGCGACTTTAGTTCAGTTATAGATGCTGATGAAAAGGGGCAACTACTGTCGCATCAAAATTGGGGTTGTTGACGTCATGATAAACTGCACAGCAGTGCCGGCTTTCTTAATATGTACTTGGATGATAAATTAGCATAAATCTGAAGTTTACTCACTAAGAAGGTAGTAAGGAGGCCAGCTATATCTATCATGTCGTTACCCAACTATTAATTAAACGAAATGGGTATTCCTTTTTTTTCAGAAAAAAGATCCAACCTATAACTTAATGCAGCAGCCGTAGGATGCATGAAGAAAATTAAGTCTGTTAAATGTCGATGGAGCGAAGTCGACTGACAACTAACATGCTTTGAGCTTTAAAAATTTTAAGAACAATTTGCAATCTCTCTTGCGTCATCACAATCTATAATTTTTTAACGAAAACCACACTGGTCCCCCTCACAATCTTTTGAAGCTGCTTTGAGAAGCGACTACAACTGGGATTCAGTTATACGACTAGATATGGTTTTAGAAGGCCTTATCGAGCCTTTCTCGGATCGGAACCTCATGAAATCCTTACCTGAGTCGACAGCCATCCTGTCATCGAAAGGTATCTTATTCTGCATCCGCAGTAGTTCATCTCTTTCCTCTGGTGAGGCCTTTATAGTCTGCGTTCCTCTTCTTATGTAATACTGAAATTCCCCCTTGCCGCTTTCTCTACACTGATGTGGGCCATTTTCACTTGCTGTCACCCAGATCACAAACACATGCTTATTTTCGTATATCTCAGGTGAGAGTATGGGATGATACTCTGGCTTGATGTTTCCTTTGCATAATCCTACCAACTGCTTCTGAATCTTGTCCAGATTCCATTCGAGAATACCACTGACTTGCAATTGCCCGTCCTCCGAAGGCTTGTCTTCTGCACCTATAATGATGTAGCCACCGTCGTCATTCATGTAGTCATTTGCAAAAGCGCAAATGGTGTGAAGAATTTGCCATGAAGTAGCTCCTGTATTCCAAGACCTTTTGAATTCAACTCTTTGCTTTTCAACTCTATGTACAGCCAAGAGATCTTTTATATTAATGATCAGTCTGCTGGCGTATGTGCTGAAAGCCATCTTTCGGGCTTCATCTGAACTTCGTTCTAGTGGAATAATTAAAATAATCATCGCCGAATCGAGGTTCTAGGAGATTACGTCATGAATATTTTAACTGAATGTTATTGTTAAGTCATAGTTAGGGATTTAGCCTATTAGGGATTGGAGGCCATATTTTTCTGTGTATACTTGCTTTCTGCAGTGCCGGCAGCATCGGCCGGGAATTTCGACTGTGGAACGGCTTTGATTCAGACACCGAACATTTCATGTGCCTAACCAAGAGCCATTATGGCTCTTGGCCTAACCTTATACATAATGATAATAACGTATTTTGCCAGCAGTCTGAACGAAATGAACCTTTTCTCCTTTTGAATTTAGTTGGGCTGAAATTAAGATCGGCGTCTGCACAATTTGAGTCGGCCTCAATTACTTCGGCGGAACGCGAAGTAAAGGATTCGCGCAGCTCAGGAATGTTTCAAAGTTGCACCCGGAGGTCCCGAAGTTGCTTCGGAATTAGTTCGAGATATCTTCGAGTTCTTTGATTTATTCTTTCAGGGGAAAGAAATAATCATTACTCTTGGAGGAAAGAAAGAAGAGATAATTATTATTTCTGGCTTTCCCAGGGTTTGAACCGACTAACGTGTGACCCGTCAGATCAGATGAGACTCTAAAATGAGGGATTAGCCAATTGCGCCACTGCGACGCAAGGTAATTTGAAATGTGAAAAATAGCCATAAGTTATGCACGAGGTACGGTTAAAAATTCGGTACGCAAGTTTGTTACTTTTCGGCTTGTTTTGGGTATTTGACGTAGTGATTGATACCGGAATGAGTTGGAGATATCGCGAGATCACTCCTAGTTCTTTCTGCTTTATACAACAAATATTTGAGGGGGAGCGCAAAGTTTTGCCGTAAACTTGCATTTTGTGAGGCCGGAAGTTGTTCGAGATATCTCGAGATCAGCTCGAGTTGTTTAGTTCGGTTTGTAGTTACTTATCTTTGCCCCGTTAAATCGCGGAGACGAGATTGTAACAGAAAAGTAAAATAAAAAATCACATTGATTCGTACATTTCGATCATCTCGTCAAAAAAAGGTCAGACAAGATCATCAAGACAAACTCTCGAACAACAACGTACATTACTGCGCTTTTCATAAACACGCGAATTCTGCAGTTCAAAAGCCATGACTTTTCGTTTTTCGCAGCCGCCGATCATCTTAGCTGACCTCTTAGAAAACACAAGTTTGCTTCAACGGGTTCAAAAGGTCATGGTTTGTGATTTGTGATTGGTGAATTTCGATCCGTTTTGTGAGTTTCTTTGTTTCAAGGCTCATTGCTTGAAAACACGTGATTGTGAAGGCGGTTTTTAAGCTTCAGAGTTCGCGTGTTTTTGAAAAGCCTAAATCCTGTTTAAAAGCTTCTTTAGTACCGACCAAGCGTAAGCCTATTCCCTTTTTAAAACTTTATTCACCTATTCCTATATGTATTTGTTCTCTTTCTTTTAATCTTACTCTGCTGCAAGTCACAAAACTTTTGGGCAACATCTCCTTACGCTCTCGACATCTCAGAACAAAATCGCTCTAAGTCTTATTGTGACCAAAACCCGACGTTAATATTCCAAATGTTTTTGATAGATTTCATCCCTGGACGTCAGACTTCCAAATTTCGTTGAGGTAAAAATACTGAAGATACAGATTAACAATTAAGATCGTAAAAGTGCGATTAAGTGCCGTGCTAGCAGAGCTTTCTTTCCCATAAGCCTCTTACCTTGTAAAAGACGTTCGCATAGCAGACATTCGCCTCGTTTCGCTTGTTTACTTGCCTTGTATACGTTAGCAGGTATTGCGTGCCTATTGGACTTTTGCGTCAAAACAAGCCGTTTCGATTACTCTATTTGGGCCACGCCAGATACGATTCGACCCGAAGAAATCACAGCGGTTTTCCAGAATAAACAAGTATACAAGATTATTCGACAGCAAGATCGTAACCCCTTGAACACCTGTACTAATTATAAAACAGGCGGTCATCTTGCAAAAACCTGAAAAAGCCTTTCACAGAGGAAACCCCAACACAACTACCGAAACCAACACGGTGCCGGATTCATTTGGTAAATTAAAACCTGTAAAACCTGCTAAACCAGCTCATCCTGAGATTCCACTCCTTTTTTTTCATAAACAAAAGGCTATGACGTCATCGGCGTTAATGTATTCAACCACAAGGTAACGAAATTCCCCATTAAACAGGGACCGCGCAGAGGGAGGGGCTGGGGGGGCTTTAGCCCCCCCACTTTTTTTGCAAGAATAAAAATAAATTAAACAAAAAATAATTTAACAAAAGTAACGGAGTGAAAAATAGCAAAAAATCGTTAATTCGAAAGTGATAAGAGTTAGTGGCAAAGACAAACGCGCAGATAAATAGACAGAATGAAGCATTAGTCGTTACAATTGTAAAATATTTTTTCGCTTCTAACCTAACCGTGCACATGGTACACGGCAACATAAATACGAACGACGAGACTTCACATACCACTAGTAATGCAAAGAAGAGATCTCTTAAAATTTCTGATTACTTTTCTAAACAAAATGGAAAACCTTCTTTATCTGGTGAGTAAACTCTGTATAATTTTTGCTACTTTTTTCTGAATCTGTTCTATAATTGAATTTTCATTCACTAAATTATTTTCAGTTACCGTTTTGTTTTGCCGTGTTTAAACAATTATTGAACTCGGCTTTCGTATGATATGAAGATATACAGATCTCGGAGGGTGTTATCCACCGAGCTCAAGCCTTCGGCTTTGGCGGATAACCCCCTCGATCTGCATAACTCTTCATATCATACTCAGCCTCGTGCAATAATTGCTCAGTAATTCGTTGGATTTCTGGCTTATTTATAGTAATGAAAGGTTGATATCAGTAGTATAACATAACGATCTATGATATTTCAATTTAGTGATGGTGAATTTTCAGACCCGATAGCAACATCACTGAAGATGTGGAAAAAAATCAATAGTATTATCGTTATTCGCATTCTCCGTCACTTTAGAGAAATTGAATAGAAATCCAAAAGCATGCCCCCCCCCGCCCCCCCTCCCCCCCAAAAAAATTTTCCTTCACGCATTCTTCTTTAGCCCCCCCACTCGAAAACTTGCTGCGCGGTCCCTGTTAAAAAATGTTCATTAGGTTCCTACTATACTACTGACCAGGATCGTGAAACCGTTTTCAAATCTTTGTTTACCCTGTGACTTAAAATTTTGTTATGGAAAGCAAGGAGACCAATTCTGGCATGGCTAAGGCTTTATTACACCCCTTAAGAAGACTGTACCATTAAGCAGCAACCAAATAAGAGCTGTAATCATTTTCATTGTGCTACAGATGTTGGTGATCAACAACAAAGTAAGACGGAGTCTTTTCGTAGTCTGAAAACCTGTAATATTTGGCACCTACAGGTCTTATACGATTCTCTTAATTTTGAAGAAGAAGAAGAGCTTCACTACTGATCTCCTTTTGACAAATCCAACAACTGTGTTTCTCAATGACAGCTGATCGCAGGACTTCCATCTTAGTGTTTCTAGTCTCTACCGATTTTAATTACATTCAAAACGTTTTAACAGCATTTCGTTGTTCTGAGTACATTTACGCGTCTTAACGCGAGTGTGAATTCACACAAAAACGCTTGCCAGACAGTTTACATTCGTAGGGTTTTCCCCCACTACCAACTCTTTACGTAGCCCTAGGTTTCCTGCTTGACTAAAACACTTGCCACACTGTTTACATTCAAAAGGTTGTTCACCAGTGTGAACTGTTTTATATATCGTCATGATCAAGCTTCCTGCAAGGTAAAACACTTGCCACACTGTTTACATTCAAACAGCTTTTTCCCAGTGTGAGCCCTCTCATGTACCCTCGAGTTTCTTGCTTGGCTAAAACAGTTGCCACACTGTTTACATTCCAAAGGGTTTTCCCCCTCTGTAAACGTTTTCATGTACCCTTGGTTTCCCTGCATGGATAAAACACTTGCCACACTGTTTACATTCAAAAGCTTTTTTCGCTACATCAACTTTTTCATGTACTGTAAGCTTCCTGATTGGCTAAAACAGTTGCCAAACTGTTTACATTCAAAAGGCATTTCCCCTGTGTATCAACTCTTTCATGTAGCCTTAGGTTTCGTGCTATGTTAAAACACCCACCACACTGTTTACATTCAAAAGGTTTGTCCCCAGTATGAGCTATTTTTCATATCCGTAGGTTTCCTGCCTGGCGAAAACATTTGCCACACTGTTTACATTCATAAGGCCTTTCTATCGTGCGCACTTTTATATGTGTCCTCAGGTGTCCAGCTTGGCTAAAACGCTTGCCACATTGTTTACATTACTTGGCTTTTCTCTTGTGTAAACTCTCATATGTATCTTAAAGGTATCTGCATGGTTAAAACACTTGCCATACTGTTTACACTCAAAAGGCCTTCCCCTAGTGTGCACTTTGTTAATGTTTCCTTAGGTTTCCTGCTTGGTTAAAACACTTACCACAATGTTTAGACTCAAAAGGCTTTCCTCAGTGGGTGAACTTTGTTACGTTTCCTTACGTATCCTGCTTGGCTAAAACACTTGCCACACTGTTTACATTCTAAAGGTTTTTCCCTTGCGTGAACTCTTTCAGGTGCCCTTAGATTTCCTGCTTGACTAAAACACTTGCCACACTAATTACATTCAAAAGGTTTTTGTCCTGTGTGAACTCTTTTATGTACCCTCAAAATTCCTCCTTTGATAAAACACTTGCCACATTGTTTACATTCAAAAGGCTTTTCCTCTGTGTGATTGCTTTCATGTACCCTTAGGTTTCCTGCTTGGCTAAAACGCTTTCCACACTGTTTGCATTCAAAGGGTTTTTCCCCTGTGTCAATTTTTTCATGTACCCTTAGGTTTCCTGCATACATAAAACACCTGCCACACAATTTAAATTCAAAATTAAGGTGTTTCCCCTTTGTGAATTCTGTTATGTAACCTTAGGTTTCCTGCTTGGCTAAAGCGCTTGTCAGACTGTTTACAGTCAT